GGGAGACTAGTAGCTCAACCCACGGCTTGTTTTTTCAAATCAACATTGACCTAATTAAAAGCCCAACCACTCCCCAGAATCCATACTCTATACTCTACTCCTTCAATAACAAACCTCCGAATATTCACTTCTTATTATATATTGTTAATCCTTACTTACGGACTTGACAAATAATATATAATTTAGGGTTTCACGTACTAGTATTATTGTTAATCCTTAATTATGGACTTGATCACATGGCTCTTCCACTCTACTCTCCGATCCATCTCCCACGGCCGCAACAGCAACCGCCGTTTACGCCACCGCCTTTATATTAATTACACTGTATTATTACCCAAGTCTTTTGTCTTAAGAACTGATAAATACAATTTCCCCCCTTAATTAATTAGACGAAGAATCCGCACAACTACCGGTGTATTCTTATTGTTTAACAATATTTTAACCTCTCTCATGACCTATTGAAATTAGCCGGTTTTTGACATGGTATCAGAGCTTTCAATGACCGTAATGTTTTGTGTTTGAATCTCGTTGGCCCTCGTTTATCAAGTAGTGCATGATACTTGGACTCGTACAAATTTTAAACCTATATGAGTTTGACTTTCATTTGACAAAGAAGTATTACGAAAATGATATAAGATCCATATATAATCGAATCTCTTGCCAACTGTTCGAATTATTGAGACCAACGGCAATTTCTCTCGTGTATATATATATATATAACTACCTTGCAGTTGTCTCTCTTCACACACAACTGATTAATCGTGCCATCAACGTTAACTTGTAACGTTTACCAATCAGAACTCCTCCATTAATTGTAGCCGCCGAGGAATCTGAACAATTATTGATGTTTTTCTATCCTTAATTATTGTATTTACGTTTTGTTCATCGTATATTATAATTCGTAAAATTGCCGGTCACGTGTTGAATTTACTACTGGTTTGTGTCCTTTTCACAACGATCTGAATTGGAGTCTGCAGATTCAGAAAAGGGTGGCTCATATGATCTCATCCTCCATGGTTCGTCCTCATCCCACTGATGATATTCTTTTCTAATGGAACGACACTGTTTAAAGTATAATCAATGAATTTAGGTTCTTTCGATTCTATATCCTGAAAAGTGATTTGTCATAAAAATTCGTTTAATACTTGTATAATACTCTTATATGTATTCCATGCTTTAAAACTCGTGTTCTTGTACGACCTAATATAATCATGTATACAAGTATTGCTTCTTTCCTCATGGATAAGCCAAGAAGGTGTAAAATTGATGGTCGTGGTAGAATGCTCTTAAAGTATCAATAACTAGGATGAACGTCAATACTCTATCGAAGGCGCTTGTCGGCTCCCTTGACACTCGACAATTAGTGATGACAATGGAGCAACGAGGATACAATATCTATACCCGTCACACATTAAGTGCAGGTCAGGTAGTATCCATGAGGGGACGGGTCGAGACAGGTCGATTCATTCTTATATATCATTTGAAGAAAAAAACGTCGATGTTTAACTATTTTACAAGAAGAGAAAGAAAAATCACTTCGAAAAATGAATTAGATATACAGTATATGAGTTTTTTTTAGTCCAAGTAGGTGAAAGATGAAGCCTTAAATTTTCGTTGGGATGAAAATATTATTTAACAGAAGTCAAAAGAGAAGGAAAACACGTAGATATTGATGCAAAACATGATAGAACGACTGGTGAACAAGACGGGCGCGATATAGAAAGAGTCAGATAAAAAATGCCACCATTCATGTCCCGGCTAGCACTACTGTGAGTCGGACAATATCCGCATCAAACAGATCGGGACAGGACGGATCGTATGAGATCCTTTGAAAAATTGTCAGCACAATGCATCACTTATATAGAACTTAATTAAGAAACCATAAAAAGTTTTCGATTACACACACCATCGATCTCTTTACTCCTTGGCTTCGATAAGTATACAAGTTGCTTTTCTTTTTAAGACATGGGAGGTGTAAAAATGATATTGGAGGTTTAATTAAAAAAATATATATATGGGGATTGGCCTTTGGGATGTGTAAATAGGCATGGGTTTGCGTTAATACTTACTAATTGTAAATTGAAACTTAGCTAGATTAGTGTGTTAATAGCTATGTGCTGTCTTAATGTTATTGGCCTTTATCCAGACGTTGACATATATTGTAGTTGCTTAACACACAATTTTCCTAAGTTTAATTTCAAATACTAATATTTGTTCCATAAACAAAAAATATATATATTTATAAACCCTTATTAGTTGTCATCCTCATAAGTCATAAATAAAATTATTTAAAATAGCGTTTATAGTCAATAATAATTGAGGTTGTTGAAACTAATATTTTGTAGAGTTTTAGAAGCAATCCCCTTGCCTATGAATATGTCATACAATATGATGATTATGCCCATACACTAACATTCAGCCATTGACCTTCTATTAGCTAGCTAGTCTTTCATCTAAAAATTGATTTGGTACACATAAAAACAAATCTAGTAACGAAGCAGATATGGATGAAGCAGTTGTAATTCTACACTATATCATATTTGATCGAATAGCGATAAATTTTATAAAGAGATGATTACAGTTTGATTTTGAGTCTTGGTGGATTCTATACGCCCAAACAACAGGAATGCACCCCCCCCCAACTTGTCCTAAATTTGCAATAGATTTGATTTGGTCCACTTTAAAGTTTAGTTGTTTGTTTATTTTATAAGAATCAAGTTAATTAATTGAATCAAAACAAAAGGGACACTGATACCTCTATTTCCCTAAGCTATATATGCTTCATTAATAAATACAACAATATGCACAATAAATTTGAGAATTCGCATCATTAAAAAAAAATTATTCCTAAAATCGTCAAATATACTAATAACACTCGAATCTATAGCGAAAATTACCTAATATATTCCAGAAACTCACATGGTCAGGCATACTATTGACCTTAAGGAATATTTATGTATACCCAACTTAATAATCATATATTATCCCATATGCTATTATTCTTTTTACCAAAAACAAAAGAAAAAGGCACCAAACACAGCACAACCATCAATATTCATCAACTTAATCACCGGGCTCACGTGTTAATTAGCTGTAATACAGTATGTGCTATGTTGGCTTATGGCAATCCTACAAAAAGTTAACCATTGTTTTTTAAGTAACCCCTAATTAATTACACGTTTAAGAATTGTTTTTTTTTTCCCTTCCTTTTCTTTTCATGATTCGAATTTGTTCTCTTTTACAGCCTGGAAAGAGGCATGCATGCAGCTGGAAACATAGGGGCAAAGTTGTGAAAATATGAAAATTAGTAGGGGTATTTATGGAACTTTGGAAGATACACCATTGATTCATACGTACAGTATCTCATGGTTGGAAATCAAGGTTGTCAACCCGCAGGTTGACCTAGATTCGGTGGAGCTAGTGAGTTAAGGGTTAATGGGTCACCCGATTTAGTTCGGTTTAGCCCGAAAAATATGGAAATAGTCATTATATTATACTTATCCTGATAAATTATATCAAATCTCATCTAACATATGAGTTATAACATATAATATTCCACCAAAATAACATGTCATACTTATATCCAACATATATTGAAAATTTACACACACTTATATAACATATATATTCAAATGTTTAACTTAGGATTCCAAAGATAGAGTTAGGCGAAAAGAAAAATAGGAAAATAGGCGCATTTCGCAAATCAAAGAAAAAATGACACAATTTGACCTTCAACCCGATACCTTGTAGCGGTGGACCCGGCGGGTGCGTGCGGCCCATTTTTCTCAATGGGTCAAGGTTAAAGTGGGTCAACCCTCGGGTCGATAGTGGGTTGACAACCTTGTTGGAAATCAATAGTCAAGATAAATGAAAATATGCAACTAGTAAAAGTTACATTTGGATTATGAAAACTAAACAAAGCAAAAGGTAAGAAACAAGAGGCTAGATTAAAATCAATCTGATTGTTGATTGAATTGAATTTATATTTTTGTATATGACATTATTCCAATTTCTAATCGAATATTGATTTACTCAAATGACATTTGACATCCATCAGCATAACGAAGGGGTAGTTTCGGCACTCTAATAATTTATAGAACGTTCTGACATATAATATTTTAAAATAGAGTTTGGTGCCATTTTCTCTTCGTCTATTGACGAATTCAATTTTGTCCCGGCCAAAACAATAAAACAAAAATAGACTGACATTCCTCTCTGTGTCATTTCTTACAAGATATAAGAAAAATGATTATCGCACAGTAAATTGTACAAAATAAATATAGTGGTAAGTTATTTTGTGTTGAAATCATAATTCAATTATTTAATATTATTAAAAATCATCTATTAATTTTAAATTTCGGTTATAAGATTTTTTCTATCAGACCATCAATATAGTACGATTCACAAAATTTGAGTCAAACTCATACTGCTACAATAGGGTGGAAAATCGATGTAGGATCGGTACACATAACTAAATACCAAAATCCCAAATATTAGATTGTGCTAAATTTAGTCTCATTCAAAAACAGATTCGGTATCTCAATCCCTAACATTTTGTTCAAAATTACTATATACTAAATGCCAAATTCAGGAATGCGCATATAGGAAATGGCATGCTCTTTTGTGGTGTCTTACTGTGGGCTGTGGCATTTGTTTGGAACGAACGATGCAAAGTAGTCCATAGAACTCCTAGTCGAGACCCTGGGATATTTGCTGATCAACTTCGGGCGGATCTACAGTTTTTATCTTGTAGAAATAGAAGCTTACGAGATGCACTTACCAGACTTGGATACTTATAGAATTTTTGTTTTGAAGTTTCTGTAAGTAGGCTCATATATAGAGAAGGTTGCAGGGATAGGCTTATGGTATCCTTTGTGATTCCACTTCGTTGTATCGGTTCGTATTTGGAATAAAGTAACTAATTCAACGAAGAAGAAAAAATGCCAAATTAACTTCGCTCAAAATTACCTATAAATATATTAAAGTAAAAACTTCTCATCCACCCGCGCACAAAACATTCTCGAAATATATTTAAAAGCAAACAATAGTGGCAATATTCGTGCAAAATAAATGGAAAACATCTTAAGTATGATAACAACAAAAAAAGCGAAATGTAGTGCCCAAAAAACACATTAACAAACTAAACACCAAAATGAAGTAGAGGACGACTAAGAAGTCCATAAACATACTACAAGTAACGAAATGAGCTTGCTCTATGTTGTCAATAGTGAGGGAATGGACTATGTACAATTAAGTAACCGTTTTGACGGATGAGTGTTTGGTAGTGAGGGGGAGAACCTAGTAAAGAGAGATCAAATACACACTCATCAGTATTTAGGTATATGTTGATCATAATCCTATAATACGTGTATTTGGTAATAAAAAATAAAAAAAATTGAGATGATATTCAATGTATTCTTAATACAGATACCAAACTTCAGGGACAGTTTTCTCTCTAGAAGGAAGTTAAATAAAGAAATTTAATGGACACCAAATTTCAACCCAGCAAGGAAAGAGAAAAGAAAAATAATTTTCATATCAACAAAATATTCTTCCCTAATTTTAATACAAACAAACATCACTGTCTCTTTTCTCAGTTATATCGTCTCCCCACGCAAACGAGAAAGTTAAAAAAGAAAATACAATAATAAGAGGAATGAATTATGAAAAAAAATAATTAAATAGCTTATTATCCATTTGTTTGTACCTCACCTCACCTCCCACTTTGTGCCCCCAAAAGCTCCTATATCTATCCCCTCCATTCCCTCAAACGCTCCATAGCCCATCTCCATTTCCTTTCCTTTCTTCTCCACAAACCCTAATCAGGAATTCTCCCTTCCAAAATCGAAACTTTACAATCAAATGTTCAAAACCCAGAAATCAAACTAACACAATCGAAGAAGATCGAAACCTGAAATCAAGAACGACATCATTTCCATCGACATGACGAGCTGCGGATTGACGATGCCAGGAACCGACGCCGCTCTCTTCGGCGCCTCGCCTTCCTCCACCGCCAGATTGCCCGACCCGGTTCTCCGGGTCCGGCCTTCTCTGGGTCGCCCGTCAATGGCGTCCTTCAGGACGAGGGCCACCATGAACGAAACGGCCTCTGCCTCTTCCGGCAGGACGTGCACGGCACCCGCCGGGGCGGAGATGAGCTTCTACGACCTGCTTGGGATACCGGAGTCGGTGAGCCTGAGAGATATTAAGCTGGCGTACAAGCAGCTGGCGAGGAAGTACCACCCTGACGTCTCGCCCCCGGATCGGGTCGAGGAGTACACCCAGAGGTTCATTCGGGTGCAGGAGGCCTACGAGACGCTGTCGGATCCTCGACAGAGGGCGCTCTACGATCGGGACATGGCCAGAGGGCTTCACCTCGCCTTCTCGGCCAGGAGACGTTCTTCATACCATGACGACGAGGTAATTTCGTCTGCAAAAACTTCTTCCATTTTGGTTCTTTCTTCTTTCTCCTCCCCTGTTTTCCAATCTCTGTTTTTGGGGAATTTGGAGTTCAAGGAGAATTGGGCTATCAATTTCGAATCTGTTCAGTCTCTTGTTTGTTACCTAACTTGGAAGTTCGAAAATTCCTCTGTTATTGCATAAATACCCTGTTCTGTCAAGTCTTTTTACAGAAGGGATAAAGATCTGTGTTTTTAGATACCCTTATATATGCCTATTCTTGTAAAAAGGTTACAGATTTGAAAGGAATTTGTGCTGATCCGATTTGGGTTTTGACAATTTGCAGGAAATCGGTGAAAGAGGAGACTGGAGAAACCAGTGGCAGTCTCAGGTGTCTGAGTTGAAGAGAAGAAGCGAGAGCAGGAGTGTAGGTGGAAGTGATAACATGTCATGGGCAGCTCGAATGCGTCGCCAGAAGGCAGAAATGGCAACCAATGGATTGTAGTAACATATAATTAGTAATCAATAGTACAATAATCTCTACTTTTTGCAACTGCTTCAGGCTTATGGGTGGGTGGCTTTGTGGATCCACAGTGGGGGATGATTAAGTCTGGATCTGAAGTCTGTATCTATAGGCTGGGTTTTTTTTTTGTTCGCCATGTAAGATCCAGACTGTAATCGAAGGGGATGCTCTGTATATATGAAAAAGCTCTCTGTCAAATCTACCTTCTGCCTCGTTTGAACTAAGTTCATCATCCTCTGGTTTGGTTGTATGTCCATGAATCATTCATCGATTGTGGTGTGTTCTGTTGCTACTTGCTAGAACTTGAGCCGCAGAATCCATGGTTGTGGACAGTGATAATCAAGTCTGTGAGCAATATCTGTTAAACAGGGACAAATTTTGGGGAGATTAGGGGGTTGTAAACGTCTGTCGCGCCTAGTAACGACACTTCAAATATCTCTAGTCGAGTCGAGAGCCAGCAAGCTTGCAGTTGCAATCAGATTATGTGTGGCTAAGGCTGCTGAAGGGCCACATTCATTCATTCATTATCTCAGCGATCTGGATCTGTTTGTTTAATCACCAGTCACCACCATCATTTTCAAGCATTTATGACTTAATTTCCTATTCTTCCACGGTTCTGCCCACTTGCAGGATACTGGATACATATACTTGGAAGTTGGGAACATTACCCAGAAACTTTGCCATCTCTGTTTTGGGTATGCCATCTAGATGAAGAATTGAGTTTTGTGCTGAAAAAGGAGAGAAAGGGGAAGTGGATAAACATGACTCCAGCGCATAGATAGAAGGGTGGGAAGCATAAGCCATGTTACATGTTCATAAGTCATAACTTATCCAAAACCTATACATCTTGAGAAAAAAGGTCACATAGTACCAGAATTGGTTCGTGCTCTCTCTCTCCACCACTTCACTTATCCATTGTCTTATCTACGATTCAAGAAGTTGGGTGTAAGGCGAAAGTTTTATGTCTTGTTTAGAGTGTGTGAGGATGGTCTAATCACGTCGAGGCGTTTGCAAGCAAAAATAACAGTTTGTAGTAAATGATGAACAAAGTGTCGGTTCGATAGCACTTCAGTTTAGACGATTAGTAACTTGCTTAACAATAAGCATAATAACTCACAAGTTCATACGAAAAATCAAAAGAGCAGCACACAAGTTCATGGAATCACAACTCAGCAGCCGACACAGTTCTTGAACTATTTTGAAAAGATATCGAGAGAATAATGAATTTGCAGATGATGTCGTTCTCCTTCTTTCAGGATATTGATCGCCTCGCTCCGAGTAGAACTGCCTAATTATGTCTAGGTGACACCTCCATCACAGCTTTTCGGATGCGTGCCTCGCTGCTGAAGGCGAGGCATTCAGCGCACCCTTTTGAACATCGGTCTCAACGACGTTGTATAATTTTCGTTTATGAACGAAAATTTAAAACTTTTTAGGTATTAGATTAACTGCAATATATTCTAAAACAAAACAAAAAAAAATCACCCCATCAAAAACATGTTGATGCTCAAGTCAATAGAGTTGCATCATGATAGTATAGAGCTATACCGCCACGGTATTAGTTTTGCGATGATCGTATAGACTAAATCATCATGCTACAGAGATGCAACACATGACCGTGAACACTTCATTCTAAAGATTGAGTCTCTTCCCTAAAACAAATCATCATGCTTAAAGACATGAATGAACATTACATATGGCTGATCGAAGGTCAGATATTGGAGGAAATTCGACAGTTATGTTGAGTTCTTCTTTAAGAGGGTGGTAGAATGATCAGAAATTCGAAAGTTCTGTTGAGTTTTTCTTCTTCAGGAGGGTGGTACAATGATCAAATATAAATAGACACAATGATGTAAAGTCGAAGAGAAAAAGGTAAATAAACCCTGATTTATTTGGAGATCAATCATTAATGGCTGGAAGTAAAGTATGTAGGGTTAAAAATTCTCATTCTAGATTCTACAGAGAGAAAAAAGTGCTTGTAAACATTATTGGTGATCCGATTCGAAAAATCTTATATTAGAGTATAAATAAGCAGGTGAGTTCTAGCGGTATGAAATCGAAATGATTGAAATATAATTAAACTACGACTTAGTACAAAATACTCTATTACTGACTTTTCAAATACAACATTTCGATACGGTTTTACAATAGTAAGAAAACAAGTCCATTCATGAGACAGAGCCGTGCCAAGTGGGTGGACGTGGTGGGCGAGGTGGTGAGGTATTGCTCTTTTGTTGTCGTGTTAGTGGAAAACTGAGGACATGAAATGAATGATATGAAAGGATGATGGTGACGATAATGATGATGAAGTGTTAGGTTAACTTTAGTTTGATGAAGACAAGCCTGCTCCCACCATCCATTCAAAGAATCCAAACTCATTAGTATTCAGCCCGATTCGATCTAATTAAAATGGATAAAATTTGGTGTTAGACGGATTTTGAGCTGGTTCGAGTTTTACCTGTCTTTAAGATTGATGGGGTTGGATTAGGTGTGGAGATTGTTAACATTTAACTCGCTTTTCATTCGAGTGATCGAGTCGCACCCAAACAATAAAATAATATCATTGTGTATCAAACCTCAATACTAAGGATAATTTATAGATGTATTGTCTTTATGACAATATAATTCTAATAATACGAAGAACTTACGGACATTTAGGGGTGTCAGTTCGGTTACCCGAACCAAAACCCGAAACCGAAAATTATTGAAACCGAACCCGATAAGGACTTGCGGGTTCCGGTTACCCGAAACCCAAAAATTTCTTATCTGGTTCGGGTTCGGTTAAAGTAAAACCGAAAACCCAAACGCCTAATAATACATACTGAGTTCTATTCATTGGAGGTTTTTAGCCGGAACCCGAAAAACCGATAAACAAAACCGAACCTGAGACCGGAAAAACCAAAACCCGAAACAAACCCAAACCCGAAAATGTATATAATCGGGTCGGTTTCAGGGTAAACCCAAAAAACCAAACCGGGACACCCCTACGGACATTATCGCTCTGTTTGGCAACAAGGGGGGTGCAAATTGCAGGAGGGTGCAAGTTGAGAGGTAAATTGTTGGGGGTGCAAATTGCTGGGGGGTGTAAGTGGAGGGGTAAATTGTTGTTTGGATGAAAAAGTATGGGGGTGCAAATAGAGTGAAAAGTAAGTAATTATATTATTTTAAAATAGATTTTAAGATTGCAAAATAGATTTTAAAATATTAAAATATTATCATAAAATAATAAAATGAATATTACTATATAATAATAAATATACTTTACTAAAAATAGTTATTATATAATAATTCTCAAATAATAATTAATTATGACAATTGTATAATCATTGATCGAGCGATTTCAAAACTCGAAGCTCAACTTGTAACTGGTCATCCTATATAGGGTTTTAGTGTCTAGTTTAATCTTAAATTGTCAAACACGTTCGAATTTGTAAGTTTTAACTATTTAGTCAAATAAACTGAGTTAACCAAACAATTTCTCTCTATCTTTTCCACAAACACCTCGTATCTCTAATTTTCAATGCAAATTCGATTCAACCAAGAGATCTAGATTTGACTTGACGAACATTGATAAACTTGTTTCCAGAGTCAAATGGTCAACCCCGAATAATGTTTACATTAATGATATTTATAAAAAGAAGAAATTGATAATATTAATTATTATATAATTATATATAACACAATTAAAAAAACAAAATTCCATAATTCCCCCCTCCCCCTCTCTTTCTTTCTTCCCTTGCACCCCAATTTGGGGGGTAAGCCGAAACAGTAAATTTGCACTCCCGTTTTGCACCCCTACTGTTCCAAATTAACCAAACAGATGCAAATGTGTTAGAAACTGTATTTACCCCTCACATTTGCACCCTCCTCACATTTATCTCTCTTCCCAGACAGAGTTAGTTTTTAGAGAAATCCAACGGCCTATACCCATCCCGATTCATCCATCACTCTATTCGCCAAAGATTTAATGAGGTGGAGGAAAAAGATGGCCTCAAGGATAATTTTTTTATTTAAAAAAAGTTGTACCACTAATCTCAATTGGGCTTGACTCTTCAGCCTCATTGACAAGGAGTGCCCAATTTTGGTTTCCCATTTGTTTACCGGTGGCTCATTCTAGAAAGTGAGAGCGGGACCCAGCTGGTTATCACCGTTGTCGATGTTCGTACGTATGAATTTTTTTTTACCTGACTCGTTTTATCAGATTTGTTTCACTCTTTTTTTTCGAGCTGATAATACTTTTCTCGTAGGTAGGAGGCATTGATATTTTCCTCATTATGATCTGGCTCATCTCATTCTAGATTAATTTTGTTTAGATTACAAAATTTTACTTTTGTTACTTCGTATTTTAACTATTATAAAGTTGTAAGTAGGCGAGAATCTCAACTTCTCAAATAATTTTAACTACATCTATCATGTTATAATTTGTTTCTATACAAAATGATAAATAAGTTATAGCGTAGTTGATAAGCTCGTTAATAAGCAGAGTTCGAGTCAAACAGCAAATCCATATTTTCAATAAACAAAAGAAAAACCTAAATTAAACCAAATTCGACTCAACTCGTCTTATTTGCGCCTTAAATCCCCATCATCGTATCACATCAGGCAGCAGCAAGAGCAAAGCAAGGCGGCATTCCAGAAAATGCAAGGTGGGCCCGCAGCTGTATCAACTATCAAGTGGGCCAGCCATCCGTGGGCCGTGGCTCGGGTCGGCGTCACGTCCCGGTTTTGGGTGCGGGTCGAAGTGAGATTCGGGTCACATTCCGTATTCTAGAACTAGTACTGGTCTCCTTCACTGTGAAGTGTGAACACCTACTATAACGCCTCAATTTATTAGTCCACAATCTTTGAATTAAGCGTTGGTTATTTTTGATTACATAATTAAGCAGGTGAATCCCTAATTCAAGATTTAAAATTGCTAGAGGTTTGAGTTTCTCAATTCTAAAAATTGGTTCAACATAAGGGATATAATAGATATATTTTCTTATTTTAGTGATATAGTTGAACAAACCTTTAGGGGTTAATTACAAGGTTGGTCACTGAGATTACTAAAAAGGTTCATGTTTGGTCACTAGAAATATTTAATTCCATTAGTGGTCACTAAAATTAGTTAAACAGTTCAAATTTGATCACTCTCCGTTACCTTCCGTTAGTCTCCGTTAACAGCGTTAATTTTTGGCTAATGTGGCTAACAAAAATGTCAATTACCTAACTGTTTGAGCCTAGAATGTTTTAGGCGGGTTTGCGGAACTAGCAAGGCGTCTGATCCGGATGATGGGGGACTCCAAGCTCCTACAAAACAAGGGTCCTTGGGTGATCACCCAGGACACCCTCCAAAGCTCAAGTTAGAGAGAGAGAGAATTTTGTAGTAATGTTTAGAGAGAGAGAGAGTAGTTGGTTTACCATCAATGCAGATATGAATGTATTTATAGTGGTTTGGGCTGGGCTTCGAGCATTAATGACCATGTCAGGCGCCCTATATCTTGTCTTACTTTATTTAGACCGCCTACGGCGGCAATTAATGCTTAGTCCTGCAGTATTCGAGGTGAGTATCCTAGGAAGATCTCCCATTCTGCCCCTAACGGCTCTTTGTGTCAGGCGTCCTAGTACCTGTCATGTCCTAGTATGGCCGCCTTCCTTTCTCTGTTTCTTATGTGTTACGTTCCCCCAGACGTCTTCTTGGGCCCTTTGAACGGGCCTTACCCTTCTGGGCTTCCAAGCCCTATACTGCTCAGCTATGGCCCAACAATTGCCCCTTAGTCGTGAAAAGCTACGGATTTTGGCGGCTTTATGTCCTTTGGTAGCTGAGCGGTCCTTTCATTAGCAGCTGTCTACCCTTTTGCCCCCTGGCCGCCGCAGATCCGTGATTTTCTGGTCCACAGCCTCCTATAATGAGTTGCGCTTTTCAACTGCGCTATCCCCTTGGTTTCTGTTTGTCCCTCGAGCTTTAATGTGGTTCGCAACTTCCTCGTGTAGGGTCGTGGAGCGGTTTTCGCTGTCCACCCCTCTTCGGAGCATTGATTGGTTAATTCCGAACTAGTCTTGGGGGTTGAGCTGTCTACCCCTTTTTGGCCGCCCTCTTCCCTTGTTGATTCGGGGACTTTCGAGTCGTTCCGTATTTTTAGCGGTTGAGCTGTTCACCCCCCTTTTTGGTCGCTACTCCTGAGCATCCATCTGGAAGACTTCTAAGCCTTGTCCATTGCGGGCTTTTAAGCGGTTTCGCTGTCCACCCCCTCTTGACTGTCAGCTTGTTAGCTTGTCCCCTGATAGCCGCTTGTCGATTGGCCTTCCACGCCTCGCTATGCCGCCCATAAGTCGCGCCACGTGTCTGGTCTCGGCTTTCGTGCTCTGACAGCGGGCAACTTTACGTCCAATCACCTGCCCGCAATTTGAATTAAATAGAGTAGGGTTTGCCCTAGGTCTCTTCAACCGTCGCTTCGCTGCCCCTTTCCTTGCACATTTATATCTCTTTCTTCTTCCTCCTCCTCATTTTCCTTCTCCCATTATCTCACTTCTCTCCCGATTCTCTCGTCAAAATTGCTCGGTGCTCTCGTTTTTCCCTGTCTTCCTATCTCCGAGACAACTCTTCTTTGTCTCCGCCAAGAGCAGCTTTCCTCGTTAAACTCCGACGACGTCAGAAACGTGAGAAAAGAAGACTTCGAAAGCAGATGGCAATCGAATCGCAAAGTACTAGTCATTCCGATAGCCAAAATCGGAACCTCTCCGGCGACGTCGTCACCGTCACAACCTCCAGTGACCTCGCGGTTACTGCTTCCGGCGACGCTCGTACTTCCAGTGCCGGCGGCAGCGTTCCTCGAAGTCAGGAGGAGGATCTGGCGGAGCGCCCTCTGGCAACCGGCAAGTGACTCCAGGTAACTTTAGACTCTACCCTTGCGCGGTTTATTCATAGATTTAGGATTTAGAATTGACATCACTCGCACGGCGTGAGGTGTACTTAGACGGTCTTCGTTATGACCTTTTAGGGGTAGAACTGGACACGGCTTTTGACGTGGGAACGTCGGGCGGACGACGTGGAGCGTCTTCCTTGGTTGGGGACAACCTCGGCGACTTTGAATATTCAGAGGCGGAGAGTGAACCGCCTGCTAACGTTTCCTCCCTCCATCCTCATGGTGATGACCCTACGGACCGCCCCGGGGATGTCGAAAAGGAGTTGTCCCCATCGCTAACTATATCTGACGCTTTGCCGGTGGGCGCTTTCCAGGCCGTCCGCGACACCACCTACCGCGTACGGTTACACGCGGACATGTGGGAGGGGGAGCCCGTGCCTTCAAGCGCATACGAGCAGGGACCGCCTAACGAGGCTGCATACAACCCCCGGCAAGTTCTGCGGCAGCTGAAAACGCATCGCCTTCCCACCGACTGGGATTATGCGGCCCCTTCTCCGGTTGGGCGGTCAGGTTCTTGCCCGGGTGGGTGGATTCCCATACACGTGGAGCACCTTCGGATGGGCCTGACTTTTCCCATCGACCCTATCCTTACCCGGACGCTCCTTTTTTTGAACTGCACGCTGGGCCGCTTGTCTCCGGGTATAATTTTTCATTCGATTGCCTTTAGAGCGGCCTGTGCCAAGGCAGGCGAGACGCCCTCTTTTGACGCGTTTCGCCAGCTGTACAAGATGAGGGGCTCCGAGAATTGCTGGTCCTGCTACCGTCGCGAGTCGCAGGTTGGGATCGTTAGCGGGGCGCCTAAGTTGGATTCCCCTTGGTTTAAGGAATACTTCTTTGCCCGTCCTGCGGATAAGTGGTACTCTGGAGAGGTTGAACCGCCCACAGGCTTTGCGTTTGGAGACAAGAAGGATTGGAACACTGATACTGATGGTCTTGGTCTTGTCAAACCCTTGTTGAAGCGGCTCACGAATGCTTTTCAAATTCGTCTCCCCCCAAAGGGGGACGATAATGCCTTGGACATTATTCGCCGTTTTCATGGTTAGTTGCTTTACTTTCTGTACTAAGTGGTCCTCTCATGCCTTTTGTCTTTAACTTGGTTCGTTCTTCAGGTACGCGACGGTATGCGTCCTCCGCACGACCGCCGAAGCCTGGAACCAATGCTCCTGCCTCCCCTGCTGCTGCGGCTGCTCGCCCTGTCCCGGCGGTTTCTCAACTTCCCCCGTCTCAGAAGCAGCTTGTGGCTAGTCAAACGGGGGTGCTGAAGCTGTCTGAGCCTGTTCTGC